GGGGGGGGGGAGGGGGGTTAAGCGCTCCCTAACAAAGGTGACTCCATCCCCAGGGGTCGAATACAAGATCTCTGGTTAAGGATGAAAGAGTACTTACCACTCCACTATAACTCTTGTTGATAATAAGGTCGTTTAATCCACCACCCCAAGCTCTTGCGCAAAAATTTGAAGATAAATTTACATATTTTCGCACCAAAGTCTGCGGTCGAGCGTTAATGAATAGGTTAGAATTAAAACTATGGGAGATCACACTTCAAAATAGGGAGATTCTTCTTATTTGCTCAAGTCTTGATGAACAAAATTACTTGATATCTATATTGATGGAAGATAGCAAGTATTCGGTAAAATAGTCCAGAAATAAATAACCTAGCTTTGTTTTTTTTTTGAAAATACAGATACTCTATGTTGAAAGACAAGTATTAAATGACACATTTCAATAGCTATAAACTACAAATATCCTACATAGTGTGCAAGAATCTAGCAGTCACAGCGACCAATTAAAAAATGAAATGAAAAATCGTCTCCTGCCTGCTACTGTATCAAACTTGAATCAAGTGAGCCACAAGATCTAGTAAAAATTGTGATGGTCCGGATTGTGAAAGACAACTTTTTTGATGGATTCTAATTTGTTCTACTTATTAAAAAAAAAAAAAAACTTTTAGAAGCAACGAGTTTTCCAAATTAAAAAAAAATGAAACAAAAAATATTGATAGTAAAAGAGCCCACCCCAGGTATAGGGAAAGGTTGATCACAAAAGTTAGGAATAAATTCTTAAAATCTTAGAAGAACCAAACATGTTTGTATACCAAAGAAACCATAACTTGCCTTGGTAATGCCCTTCATCTTTAAACTAAGGTTTGGAATCTTTGTTTGGTTTTGTGTATGAGCTATGTCATGCCCTAAGAGGAAGCATTGCATCCCAAATACTACTATTGGTTGCCCAAATATGGTGCCATTTCTATGTGACTACTACTACTAATACAACAAACCTAGCAAATGAGCAATTAATATTAGCCATTTAAGCATATCTACTCTACTAATGGAATGTGCTTCTTCATTTATTGTTAATCCGTTCAAGATTATGGCCTCTTCTTCCTTCATCTTCCTTTGGTTCATTCTTCTCTTTAATGGTAGGTTTATACTCTTGAATTTGTCATGGATTTTATTTTATTAAGAGTTTTGTTATTTTAGCTAGGCTCTTGTACGTTAGTTCTTTAATTAGTGATAGTTAACGAAAACATGTTTGACTCTTGAAATTTGAACGGACAGAGCCAACATAACTTCTAGTACTTTATATTATATATTCTTTTATGAATAATATTGGTTGGAGATGAGTTTAACTAGAGCAAATGATCATTTCATATAGTTGACGCCAACTTATTTAGGATTGAGGCATAATTATTATTTCTGACTTGCTATTGTATATGGTAACATCAACAGTCATATGTTGTTGAGTTAATTTCTTTCTTCTTGTTGTTGGACAGCTTCAATAGCACATGCATTCACAGGCACATATGGGGTAAACTATGGAAGAGTATCAGACAATATCCCATCACCCGAAGACGTCGTAAAACTTCTCAGGACAAACAAGATCAAGAACATCAGAATCTACGACGCAGATCACAGAGTTCTGAATGCCTTTAAAGGTTCAGGGATCGAAATCAACGTATGTCTTCCCAATGAATTACTCAAAGACATGAGCATGAACGAAGCTCTAGCTCTCGAATGGATAAAATTGAACGTTCAACCGTTCCTCCCCGATACCTCAATCCGAGGTATCGCGGTTGGAAATGAGATACTAGGTGGTGATATAGAAATATCAGAAGCTCTAGTCCCTGCTTGTAAAAATGTGTACCGTGCACTTAAAAGGTTGCAGTTAGCAGATTTAATTGAAGTTTCAAGCCCACATTCTGAAGCAGTTTTTAACAGCACTTATCCACCTTCAGCTGGTGCATTTAAGGAAAGTCTCATGCCATATTTAGGACCACTATTGCATTTCTTTAACCAAATTGGATCACCTTTTTACATAAATGCATATCCATTTTTGGCCTATAAATTTGACCCTATTACAATTAATGTCAACTATGCACTTTTTCAACCAAATGCTGGAATTGATGATCCAAAGACTAAATTGCATTATGACAACATGTTTGATGCTATGGTTGATGCATCTTATGTTGCATTAGAGAAACTTGGGTACAAGAAAATGCCAGTTATAGTGTCCGAGACAGGTTGGGCGTCGAAAGGGGATGACAATGAAGCGGGTGCGAATGTTAAGAATGCTAGAACTTATAATTTTAATTTGCATAAAAGATTGATGTTGAAGAAAGGTACACCTTATAGGCCAAAAATGGTGGTCAAAGGTTATGTGTTTGCATTGTTTAATGAAAATTTGAAACCTGGGCCAACCTCTGAGAGAAACTTTGGATTGTTCAATCATGATGGAAGTATTGCTTATGATATTGGATTTAAAGGACTTGTGCCTTCTTCTGCATCCTCAAAGGTATGTTTTCTTTACATGGATTAATCTATTGTCACTTTTGAAAATATAATTGTTTTTTTCTTTTATGCATCACTATTCTAAACAACTGGCGTGACTGATCCTAAGTCACGCCAAAAGGCCCACGAAAGAAGAAAGCGCAACCTAATAGGAGTTTCTCTATTCTCAGAATTCGAATCCGAGACCTCTAATTAAGAGGGAAGGGATCTTAGTTTACTCCACTATACCCTTTGGCTGTTACGGAAAATAATTATTGTCTCTATGTTAATATGGGTGTCTTGCTTTGCTTTCTGCTTTATTTGCTAATTACTTATCCAAACCCAAACATAAATTAATTTGGTTATCAAATAAGTACGAAAAGTTATAACCTAAAAATACAAGTTCTTAACTATAATTTTGTTCTATCATTATATAATGATTTAATTTTTTGTTTTTCAGGACTCTGTACTACGAGGGCAGTATTGGAGTTCCAAATCGTTAGTTCTTGTGGCATGTGTGACAATTCTGCTTCTGTTCACAGAACTATGACCTAACAACATTTGACAAGAAATAGTTATTTAAAAGTATTGGAAGAAATTGTTGCCCTCAATTTGTATGAATAGTTTGCAGTTAATTGATCAAATTGCCGTTCATCACTATTACCAGTTGATTGATGATTGGTTGTCAAAATATGTTTTTTTGGCCACTTAATGGCTAATAACATATCGCGATTGCCATTTTTATAGTTTAATGGTATTGATGATGATATCTTTGGCATAATATATGTTCGCTTGAAACTCGCTTTTTCTTCCTTGAAATTAAGCCTTCGTTTTACAAATTCTTTCAAATGTTGATGATAGAAAATTGAATTTTGATTGTTGCTCATTGTAACAAGTTGAATGAACAAGAATTTCCATATCAAGCATATCATGCAAAAAATCAAAATTGTACCATAAAAGCTAGTATGATGTGAATTGCAAGGTACTAATTACCAAATAAATAAATAAATTGCAAGGTACTACAAAAATATATGAACATTAAATTATACACATTACTGGGCTCCACAATCAGAATGGTCCTTGAGCAATATTTGTTAAAAGCCCCACATTCCATATTTTTTCTCTAATGAAAAAAAAAGGCAATTAAAAATGTTACCATCGTCAACATTGGACGTTGATATACTCTCTTAGAAACTAGAACCGTCACATCAAAATGAGACGTAAATCACTTAAACATTATTGAACTTCGCCGACGTTATATCGACAGCCCCCATAAGTATTATTTTTCATTTAAACACCATAGTTTTGGGTACTAGGAGGGGATTAAATTCCTTAAGGAAACACTGTGAATTCAGTGGGCTCGAATTAATTTTTGTTTCAGTTATATCATTTATATTTACGTATGTTACTGCTGTAGGTAGCTGATAAAGAGGATAATATATATCTAAGAGTGGAAAAGTTAAAACTTGATCTTCCATCATTCCATATTTATACCAGATAAGAAGTACTATACAGGAAACAATAACAGCTTAAGGAATTTAATAATTTTAATTTATGTATTTGTGTTACTTTTATTATTCTGGAAACTTAAAACCTTTGTGGTTTTGTGTACTCNAACAAGCTTAAGGAATTTAATAATTTTAATTTCTGTATTTGTGTTACTTTTATTATTCTGGAAACTTAAAACCTTTGTGGTTTTGTGTACTCCCATTTGGAGAGTAAAGCCTTCGTGGCGTTTTGTTGGAGTTTAAAATCTACGTGATTTTTCACTCCAGTTTTAAACGTTTATTAAACGTTTGTTTGTGTCATTTTTACAGTAAAAATGGCGAATGACGGAAATCAAGCTGTACCGATGATGACTGCCAACGCATCGACAAGTCGAACTTCGGCGTTGGCACCGGCAGAGAAACCCGAAAAAAAATTCGGGATGGATTTCAAGCGCTGGCAGCAAAAGATATTCTTCTACTTGACTACGTTATGTCTACAGAAGTTCATCAAGGAAGATGTTCCTGATCTTCCAGATGAAACTCCAGAGAATGATAGATTTCTCGTGATTGAGGCGTAGAAGAATTCTGACTTCTTGTGCAGGAATTATATTCTTAGCGGACTGGAGGATAATCTGTATAATGTATACAGTGGCGTGGAGACGTCAAAAGAATTGTGGAATGCGCTTGAAAAGAAATACAAAACTGAAGATGCCGGGATGAAGAAATTCTTCGTTGCAAAATTTTTGGACTACAAAATGGTAGATAGCAAGTCTGTTATTACCCAAGTTCAGGAGTTACATGTGATTATTCATGATCTACTTGCTGAAGGTATATTTCAAATGAATGCTAATGTTGAAAGTAAAATTTTTAGTAATTTTACTAACGGAATTTTCATTGAAGGTCTTGTCATCAATGAG